CCTATTATTTTGTTTTGAAATTCTGTATAATTTTTATTCTTTTTTTTTTGCTTTTAAAGTTTGAAAAAAAGAGGATTTCAGTCTCTTGAAGACAAAAACAATTGTTTGAGAAAATTATAACTTAGTATTGGTCAATTCTGGTAGGAGCTGTGAAGGTGCTGATTCCATTTGCTAACTCTTTTCTGAGTTAGGCTTTTTCCTAAATATCTATTGGTGAATTCTGAAATTATCACTGTTGGAATAAAGCATAGGAGAAAAGCTTCATGGTATCAGACTTAGAGTTCTTTTATATGTCAGCAGAAGCACAGAAAATGAAAAAACTAAATTAGGTTATATTAAAATATTTATTCATTAAATATTCAACCAGGTAAAAAGGCAATAACTACAATGTGAGACAACTTTAGCAAATCATACAGTGGGTAAGGATGATATTCAAATACAAAAGAAGGTACAACTGACAGCAGAAAACCAAATCAAGGCACTTCATTCAAACATGGGCAATGGACTTGAGTAGACATTTCTCCAGAAAAGATATGAAAGTGTCCAGTAATCTGATGAAGAGATGTCAGCATCACTGATCACTAGGGAAATGCAAATCGATACCACAATAGATACTACTTCATATTTTATGTTATAAAAGTAGCAAACAACAAAATCTGGAAAATAATGCGTTGGTGAAGATGTGGAGAAACTGGGGCACAGACTTTGCTGATGGGACGTGAAAAATCTTACAAATTGCAAAGCATGTCAATTCTTTAAAAAAATTAGAATTACCATGTAATTCAACAATTTTTATGAGAATAAACCCTAAATAAGTGCTAGTAGGAAATAGCAGATATTTGTTCAGTCATTCATAGAAGCTCTATTCACAGCACCTTAAAGCTGGAAATACCTAAGTGTCCACGGATGTACACATGTGAAGTACGTGTGTATGTATGTGTATATACATGTATACACACAAGCACATACACGTATACATACATTTACACAAACACATACGCATACACACATTTAGCATCAGAAAGGAAGGGAATGTTGATATACGCTACAACATGGGTCAGCCTTGAAGACATGATGGTAGGTGAAATAAGGACATTCCCCCAGAGCAAATACTGCCTGCTTCTACTTGTAAATTATCTGATGTGGTCAGATTCATTGACACAAAAGCTAGAATACCGGTTACAGAGATTTGGGGTAGGAAGGAATGAGGAAATAATTATTAATGGGTAAAATGTTTCATTTTGGGAATCTGAAAAACATTCTAGGATGGATGGTGATATGTTAAATACAACAGGACTCTATGCTTAAAAATGGTGAAGATGGTAAGTTTCATATAATGTGTATGTGGCCTTGTATAAAAAATTTAAGATTTATTGTTATAGAAAGACAAGCATGCTTCATGGAACTTTTAGGGAAAAAAGACACGCATGATTAATTTTGGCTCAGGCAAGACTGAAATAAATGTACTTTGCTTTCAATGTTTTCTACTTTATTCCACCCATTTCTGTATCTTTTTGCTGGTTCTTACATTATGCACTGATTTCTAAGAACCTTATGTTGTAATCATTTAGCCAGAATAATTTCCTGAGTTCTTGTGTTCTGATTATCTGAGCTTCTTCACTGGTACAAATTTAAAGCTTTTTTCCTCCCCATTTCCTCAGAAGCATGCCCCAAGTAACTGTTAGTTTGGGATATAATTTAAGGTTTTTCTTTCTACTGTGGTATGTGAGATTGAATCTGTGAGAGATTCTTCAGCAATTCTTTAATGGGAGAATCTGCAGTGTGGAAGCCAGTCAGGAGAACAATTGTGCCTTCCAAGCAAACTGCAGAACACAAAGTGGAGACCTTTTCCCTCTTTGACTGCAGTAGGCCTGACCTTAAGAGTCATTTATTTGAAAACAAAATGATGACTTTTGTAATTTGGAAAAGCGCAGGAACTGGATACTGGTGATAATGCTTCATGGCTTGTCATTCTCCATCTATGTTACTCCACACCAGTGGCTGTAGTGACAATAATCTATATGGTGACACATTTTACCATAACACATAGTTTCAGATTTGAGTGTGGATGTGGGGCATATGAAACTAAAAACTGAACCAAAGAAATTATTCATATAATTTTAAAATGTGCGATTCTATCGTGGGAAAAATGAACACATAGAAAAATTTCTGATGCATCTTTAAATATTTCAACAATTTTAAGATTGCTTTTAAAAACAAAATTAGTTGAAAATGTGTGCTGATTAGATTCATTTTATAAAATAAAGAACCCCTGTTGAGACTATTCAGCAGAAAAATGTTTTTGGTTTTAACACTTCCAGAAATTATCATCATTACTCTGTGTATTAAAGAGAACAAAGAACATTTCAAACAGAGATCAGCTAAGTAATTTCTTGGTATATAAGACTCATTTGCCACCATTGGAGAATGTGTGTACATTTTATACATGTAACTGTAGAAATAAGCTAATAAAATAAGTTAGAGTATTTTGTGATCAATGACTTAAAACACATCTGGGAATGAAAACTTAAAAATGAATGTATTCATGTAAATACATGGATAAATACAAAAGCTTTGTAAGGAGTGGAAGAAGGGTTGAAGTAAGGAGAGAGGATAAGGGAATAAAGAATTAAGAAATGTATACAGATACAAACTTCCTCTAATGAATGTGATCATTATATATATCAAAAATGTATTGACAAAATTAAATTTTTTTTGTCTTTTTGAGACAGGGTCTTGCTATGCAGTTCAGGCTAGCCTTGGGGTCACTTTGTAGACCAGGCTGGTCTTGAACTTGCAAACAATTCTCCTACCTCAGCCTCCCAAGTGCTGGGATTACAGGAGTGTGCCACCATTCCTGGTTTGATAAAATTAATTTTAAAAAATATGGAAAAAATAGGGGCTGGGGATTTATCTCAGCGGCATAAGCACCTGCCTTGCAAGCAGGTGGTCGTGAGTTCGATGCCCGGTACCGATGAAAAAAAAAAAGAAAAAAAAGTGTAAAAAAAAATATGGAAAAAATAGTAATAAAGCAGGCTTAGTCAATGTTGTCTAAAACTGACCTTTCTAAATCAGTTTTCACTTTTCATGATGAAGAAAATTTACTAGATACGGTATTTTTATTAAATAATATTGTTACAAAAGACAAATAAAAATCATGGTCATATGACTGGGCTGCTAGGTACATCTATTAATGGCATGTTTATTTCTGCTGAGGCTAATGCAACTAGCCGAGAAAAAAGAAGTTGTCTAAAGGCAAGCTCCTAGCTGCCAAGGTCTGCAACTAGGGAGGGGCTATTTGCAATGGAGAGCATCTATTTTTATTTGTTTATTTTTATTTTTATTTTTGTTTTGGATTTAACAGTATATTATGATTTATAAGTGTTTTTCTGAAGCATCATTGAACCTCGTAGAAGTAAGCATGCAGAATAAAAACATAGAAGTAAGTCTGCAAAATAAAACATACTTTAAACATGTTCAAGTCATTAGATGATCTGAAATTTCAGATCACTCCGTCACTTCATTATTATGCAGTGGCAGTCAAGTAGTCCTTAAGTTCAGCCAGTGACTGCAGTGAGCCTCCTGCAGCCACTTTCGCTGTGAATGCAGATGTCTATGTTACTCTCTGTCGTCTGGCCTTTTCCTTTCTGGTTAAGATGACTGTGGATGACCTCTTCGAGCTCCAAGTCGTCACTGTATCTTTTCTCCAGGAAAGTTTTTCCATTCACATAGCTTTTTCCCATTGCCATGGCCTTCTAGGTGAAGAAAGCACCAGGTGGGTCTGCCTGAAACAAATATCCTCACCTCTCATTCCATCACACTTGGAGGGACACCACCTGACTGGGTGTGCTCCTGCATCGCGGAAGCTGCTCTCTGTTCTTGCTGGGCTGAAGGGGTGGCTCCTGTTGAACAAGGTAGTGCTGCCCAGCGAGTTTCTCAGCTTTGAGCACAGGCACCCTGTGATCGGGGCCCATGCCACTGCACACCAAATCTGTGTGCTTGCTAATTGGCTCTACTTTGCGTGCCCTTTGCTTATCATACAAAGTAAGTCTCTGTTCCTTCTCAGTTGCCGACACTACACCATTTGCAGCTTTAATTCCCACTGAAGGGGCTCCTCCAGCTAAAGCAGTCAATGTATATTCAGGCTAGACAAGCCTACCAGATGGGCTGCAGGTTGTGAGCAAAAACTGTAACAGCATTCTGCCATTTGTACCCAGAGAGCCCTAGCACTGAGAGCCTCTCTTTTTAGAATGGGACGTATGCAGATGTAGGGTAATGGAGTAAAGCATGCATGGTTAGTTATTGGGAACAAGCAGGTGTGAAATTGTCTGATTCTTCCGAGCTTCTGGGTCAGTTTTATATGGGGGTGGGGGTGGTGAAAATGTCTCTGTTATGGAAAAAAGCACCAAGCTTTCCTCTAGTGCTGAGATTTGACAGGGAGATGTTACGCTTTATCCCAGAAGTTTATCCCATGGATGGCTCACTTGCAGGAACATCTGTGATTTGTCTCCCAGGTCTAAAATTCTGATATGACAGGATGGTAGAAAGATTAACTCTGAGTTGAAAATGTAACTTTAACAGTAATTCCTTTCCAAGGTGCTTAACAGTTATAAAGTAATTTTATGTCATTAGATCCACAGCAGTTATTTGAAGAAGATTATTCTGAACCTGTAAGTGAAAAAAAGGTTTTGTTATGGTTGAAGAGCATAGTGAAGGCATCCAGTTACAAGAGACCAAATCAGGATTAGGTCTTCGGTCAGCAGACCACCTGTAACATTCTTTCTATTTGAACGGAATTTTTTCTGCATGGTATTGTATGGTAATGTCACATGTAACAAAGCTTTGATTTAAGAAGGTGGATTTAGAATTGTTAAGCATAATCCTTGTGTTAATCTGTATTTGTCATTTGTTGCTAACTTTTCTTTCTCTACTATTGTCTTATTTCTGAAGCAGCCAAAATGAGATGGTAAAAACTCATTTTGTTCTGGTTTTCTCATTAGGCTCCAACTATGAAAGGTGCGACTTTGAGGATGGGTTGTGTGGTATGGAACAAGATCAAAACCTGCAACTGGGCTGGACAAAGACAAATGGGATGACTAGCCCGTCACCTCCATTTCGTGATCACAGCGGGGACACGTCTGGTAAGTGCTCTGAGTTTGTTTCCTTTTTTCCTTGTGTTATTATTTTCATTTATTTATTCCCTCCATGTTTTTGTTTTAAGTCTTTGTTTAAGTAAGTGGAATCTTATTCTATATTTACATATTAATAAATATAATGTCTACTTTTATGTATTCTTTAAAGATTTCTTCAAATATGCAGATTCTAAAATATCACATCAGATTCTCATAACTGGATTCCTTGGATCCTGGCAGGTCTATCTAGATACTAACTGGTACTTTTCTAGTTCTTTTGATTCTGTGAAAATTATAAAATGTGATCATGATAATATGACATAGGTTAATTAGGCAGTCAGATTTCTTTGCTCTTTGTTGGGCTGATTTCAGCTCTGTCTCGGAGCATTTGTTTAATCAGACTGACTAAAAAGCTCTAAGGGCTGTTCACTAGGGGGTTAGACTTTCATTCTTTTCTTCACTTATTAACAAATGAACTTTAGTCACTCAACATTTGTACCATGTGATTATTTTGTATGAGTGAACAGAAATAAAGCCCATATTGACTGTTCTCTGATAAGGTTCCATACAGCACAAAGGGAGGTGATGCGGCAATAAATAAAGGCCAGTTATTTTTGTGAGAGTGATGCTTCCTTCAGATAAATGCAATTAAATGCCGAAATATGACTATTGCCTTGGGGATGATTTAAAGTAAGCAAATGCTTAGCATTAGGTAGTAATTTGGAAATGTTTACATGAATATTGCACTTGTGGATTTAAATCTTGGGGCTGTTATTCCCTGGTTGGAAGTTCTTGCAAAATTTACTTCACTGAGTCTTAGTTTGCTAAAATTAGGAAGAGAATAATGATGCTAATTTATAGGAGATGGTTGTTTTAAAAGCTAAATGAAATATTGTTGGTAAAGCTTATCATTGAATACTCATAATTCAAAATATGTTCAGTTCATTGCTGAATAATTTTAGTGTTGTAGTTTTAAACTTCTGTGCATATAATATGGAGTCTTATTTTGTTTATCTTTGATGCAAGAATACTTTTGCTTAGAATTCTTAACAATTGTCAGGAATAAGCCAAGTTTATCTCAAAAGGAAACAAGCTTCACCAAGTAGACCACCCACTAACTGCAATACAGGGAGGTATTTTACTTAGTTATGGTAGCTGGTGCTTCTGATTTTTGCTCTCAACCTTTAGCCATCGCAGTGTTCTGCAAATTGTTGATTCTGCATCTCTCTCCTTTTGTACTCTCCATTCTCCAGAGAAGTCTGTCCCAGCATGCATCTATTCACTCTACCGTTCTTCTTCACAGAACACCTCCTATTTTCCCTGTGGTCACAGTTTTAGTCCTTTGGCTTGTCTTCTCTCCTCAGAAGCTCTACCATTGTGCCTCTTTCTTGCCTTTCCACCTTCTTTTTCTTCATTTTGGTAGACTAGTCAAGAGATAGAGTGGATGCAGTTTGCATGAAAATTAGATGTTGTATAGATGTGTGTATCATTTAATTATCTTTTATGGGTTGTTTAAAATCTCAGGAGTCAGACTAGATCAATTAGAATCTTGGCCCTATCAAACAGATAACTGTGGTCTATTTCCTCTACTGTACAACAAGGTAATAACAATAAAAAACTCCCTGGGGAAAAGAGGAAGATTATTGACTGCCACTAGTAATAGAAGAGAAGTGATTTTAACAGTAGTCTTTTATAAATACACTTTTATAAGTATACTTAAATACCTTACAAACACATCTTTTCCATGTATAATTAAATTATGAGTATTCTCTAGTAACATTTAAGGAAGGAAATGTTCTAGCTTTAAATAATAGCTATTTAAAAATATTACTGAAAAGTGGTCTTGGAATCTTGGTCTCCATTTCAAAATCCTTATTTCATGAATATTAGAAAATATTTTAAAAGTATTTTTGATTAACTTACTTTGAAATATTTTCTAGTCCTCCAAAATAAGATGTTTCATTATGTAATCAATGCTTTGAGTTTTCTAAGTTTGAAAATCTACTAAGACATTAAAAACATCATTCTCGTCAGTATTTGAAATCCAATAAATCTTGGAGCTGATAGAATAAAATATAATATTGATTTTAAAAAGTATATAGCTTTTTTTTGATATTATGGATTGAACCTAGGACCTTTCACCCTTTAAAAATTTTTTGCCTCTACATTATGTAGCCTGGGCTCAGATTTGCAAGTCTTTTGGTTCAGCTTCTTTGAGTGCTGGGATTGCAGACCTGGGCTACCGTGTCTGATGATTCCATTTGGAAAAAATTGTTATCACAGCCACAAATACAAATACATCTTTACAGTATGTGGTATGATAGTATGACTATTTTTACAAAAGGAGTAAGAATACAGACTTTAGATAATTCTGGAATTCAGTTGATATTAAAGACGATCGAGATGTTTCTCAGGTGAACAGTTGACCTAAAAATCTAGAATGTGTAGGCTATTAAAGATCAAAATAATTTATTTGTACAACTGATATTTCTCCTTATGCCATAGACTATTACTTTCTTATTTGAGAACTTAAAATCACTTTTAACTGGAAATATTAGAACTTTTGTTATACTGATTAATTTTTAATTAGACCTAAAGTCTACATATTATGAACTATGCACACTCTTGAGCATCACTGTGGTAATCACATTACGTTTGCTATCTACATCAATTATAAATCCTATGATTCAATGTAATTTTTGTCTTAAGCAATATTAAAATTAAGGAAGAAAAATACTTTTTTTTTGAGACAGAGTCTCACTATCCAGTTCAGGCTGGCCTTGGGCTTACTTTGTAGCCCAGACTGGTCTTGAACTTGTCAAACGATTCTCCTGCCTCAGCCTCCCATGTGCTGGGATTACAGGAGTGTGCCACCATGCCCGGCTTTCATTATTTCTATAGTTATCTGAGTTTGTGGTAGCTACTTTCAGTTTGAAAACCTTCCTTAACTGTATTTCGCATAGTTCTCTGGTGATAAATTTTGCTAGGTTTCCTTCTCTTCGAATGTTTTTTATTTTGCCTTCATTCTCACAAGATGTAGACTTATTTTCATTTTAGGGCTTTAAAGATATTGTTCCACTGTCTCTTGGCTCCCCTAGTTTCCAATGTGATATCTATAGTATTAAATTGTTCTTGCTATACATAATATATCTTTGATGGATTCAAGATTTGATCTTTATCTTTGTTTACAGCTTGTGACTTAAAAATTTTTTCCTACTTGGGTTACTTAAACTTCTGAGTGAATGATGAATGTTTTTTGATAATTTGGGGAAATAATCAGCTCTTGTTTATTTAGATATTATTTTTTCACTATTCTTGCTCTTTTCTCTTATATTAAAACATATTGTTAGATGAGATACCAACATATATTTTGAATTTATTTTCTTGGTTTTCAGATTGAGTAATTTCAATTTGTTTGATTGCCCTTTTTTTTGTTGTCTACTTACCATTATGCTTGTAAAACCATTCTGTGATTTCATACTTGTAAAACTATTCAGTGATTTTTGCTTGTAAACCATTCAATGATTATTTTTAAAATGATCAGCCTGAATTTTTCAAACAAGTGTTTTGAATTTCCTTTGTAAAGTTCACTTTTCTTATGTGCTGTAAGCCTAGTTTTCTTACCTCATTATGCCCAATTATAATACCAGTCTTAACGGTCTTGTTTGTCATCTCAGATTTGCCTTCTCTTGACTGTTTTTTCCCCGTGATATGACTGCACTGCACTAAATTTTTGGTTGTATTCTTGACATTATGAGCATTGCTTTTGTAAAGCATCTGAATTCTGCCTCAAGAATGTTTTTTCAGAGCACAATATGATTTATCTAAGTAAGTGATTACCTTGCATAGAATCAAGTTGCAAATGCTTTGTTTGTAGGGGGCAGCAGTTCAAGCATCCATTCGGTTCTTTTAGAGGTGTCAGAAGTGTTGCCTACACATGCCAATTTTAGATTTAGTCAGAACCTTATACAGTGTTTGCTCACTATATATGTACTTTATAAGAACATGCAACACCCCTAGTCTTGCACTTTTCTTTTTTTTTTTTTTTTTTTTTCTGCTCTATCTGCCTGTTCCAAGATCTCCTCTCTGGTTTCCAGCCAGCTGTTCCTAGCAGACTTGTAGCTCTATGCAGCAGCTGCAACAGCATCCTGACCTCAGGACAAAGTTTGAAGGAGTCTAATACTATGATTCTTTCCTCCAAGTGTGTATTCTTTAAAAATAAATGCTCTTCTTTTGCTTATGTTTAAAGGCTCCAGAATCTGAGTCTTTAGTTTTTCTTTAATGTATTCTGTATGTTCATTGCTGGCTTTTCATTCCAGTGAAGATGAGCAGCTTCTAATCTACTCTGTGCTGCTCTTTCTCAAAGGCTTCCGATGCCTTAATAGCAGGCAGGCTGTATGATTTACACAGCTAGAGTTTTTAAAGGAACACTCAATAAAAGACTATAAACATGGTGAAAAGGATCCCACATTATAATTTTCTTCATCATGAATGTTCAGCATTTGTAGTCTGAGTATGTTTATTTTAAATCAGGTAAAAACGTATGTTCATTTATTGTTTTCTGAGTATGTTACTTCAAAAACTAATTGAGCATATGCCTTTCTCCACATACTATTCTAAGATGAGAGGATATAATTGTAAAGAAGAACATAGTTGTTTTCCCCAGTGAACTTTCAATCTACTGATACGGGCATAAACCTACACTTACAATTATATGAAGACTGAAATCTCCACACAATTGCAGTTCTCTTGGCTCATGTACTGTGTTGGTTACTGTTCTTTTGTTGCTGAGACAAAATACTCAACACCCAAAATGAAGAAAGAAAAAGTTCACTTAGCTTACACTTTCAGTCCTACTCAGCTGGTTCCAAGGGACGGTGGCATGGCGGAGAGCATTGGTTCATGACAGCAGAAAATAGCACAAGCAACAACAGCTAAAGGGAAGGAGTATAGAGAGAAGGCTCTTTCTGTCCCTTATATTTTACGTGAGCCACTCTCACTTGGGTGTA